AGTTAGAATTAATTGACTAATCTAATTTGATTAGATGTCAATTAAAGGAATATATTAAATTAATCAATTGGATTGATTAATTAAATTTTGGTTATTAATTTAGTAATTAATAAAATTACTAATTAATAGTTGGAATTTAAAATTGAATTTTAAATTTCAAATCCAAATAATAATATGATTATTAAATAAGGAAATTGGAAGAAATGATTAAAATAATAAAGTCATGAAAAATGTTTTCAAGAATTATTATTTTATGATTTTATTATTTTATCCAAGGAAATAAATAGCTCGCTAAAGTTGCCGCTATTTGAGAAATAGTTTTTTTTGGCAGCGTGCCGCTATTTGTATTCATGTGCAATTTAGCCGCTAAATCCCGCTAAATCTCCGCTATAGCTACAGTACCATAAACGTTTTAGCCCGCTATTTAAAACCTTGATTTTATCTTTAATATATTTAAAGATTAAAATAATTAAGGAGACAAAATAATGGTGGTTGATGGTGGTTAAGAACCACTCCACATTATTTATTAAAAGTCAATATTTGGTATGGATTTTTAAATAAAATCTGATTTTATTTAAAAAATAATTAATTATCAAATATTGATTATTTTATGCTAAAATGTTTAGTATAAATAGGTGCAAAATGTTTGCACATAATTTGCTAAGTTATTTTGCAAAGTTCTTCCAAGAGAGAAATACATTCAAAGAGTTGAGTGTTATATCAAGAAAGTGTTCTTGAAATTTCCTTATAAATATATATTCCTTACTATTGAAAAACCGAGTAGTTTCTACTAGCGAAGAAGTTATCGTCGGAACCGGAATTCAAAAGGTGGATACGTTTAGAGGGAAGACACTTGGATTCCTAAAGTGAGTAACCACAAGCTCAAGAAGTGAAGTGACATTACCAATCCGGAAACCGATTTCCTCAATCCATCTACATTTTTGAAGGAGTTCAAGAACAAAGGTAATTTATTAAAATTACATATCAAATCAAAATTAGTAAAAGTTACTAGATTTTAAATGATGCTTATTCATTCTATCGTTATACTTATGTACGGAATAAGTATTTATAAGATAAATACTTATAAAATTTTTAAATTCCGCTGCGTTATATGTTCCGTACGGGTATATCGAACCCAACAGTGGTATTAGAGCCACGTTCGATTAACATCTTTAAAATCAGATTTTGATTTGAAAAATTGTTAAAAACACGATCTGGACTAAAAATCGAATAGAGTATTCGAAAACACGAGTCGTTCAGGGTGACACGACTCGTGTGACAGGTCGTGTGGGGTCACACGAGTCGTGTGACCAGTCGTGTGACTCTGGAGCCTTCCCAGGTTTTCAAAAGTTGCTCTCGCATTATTCACACGAGTCGTGTGACTTAGCCACACGAGTCGTGTGACTATTCACACGAGTCGTGTGACTATTCACACGAGTCGTGTGACTGATTTTTATCAGAAACGAGCTGTTTTGACTTAATATAAGTCATTACTACATCAACATATTAAATTGGTGAATTTATATGTTGAATTCATGTGATGAATGGTTAATTTAGGGATGATCATGAGCTTTTTACACATAATGAATGAATGAATGCATTTTATTTCAATATGATTGAATGTTTGCATGTTTTATTAAATATGATTGAATGTTGTATATTATTCAATGAGATTGAATGAATGTAATTTATCGAGACCTGCGAGTCTCTTTTGATTTGATTTGTAAAATTTTAAATTTTTGTATCGTTAGAATGATTAGATCAAGGTGGAGATCGTTTGATGCAAAAGGCCTACGTATGTGTGGGTAATTTTACAAGTTGTAAATCTCGAAGGCCTGTGCTTGTACGGGTAGATAAAATGAATTGTAATAGAAGTAGTTCTATTTATTTATTTTGTCACGTACATAGGCATAGACCCATTTTGGCTCGAATGGGTCGTATAGGCAAGGACATGAACATCCCACCGTATGCATGCATTAGATATATGTTAGGTTTATTTATGTTTATGATTCATGCGATGAATAATACGGTAAATAAATGTAAAGATGGTAATCGATGAGATCTTAGGAACCCTAAAGAATTAATTTGATTAATTCTATATCAAATCAGTAATGGATAAAAATAAATTGGAACTTATTAATCTAGGCATTCCATCAAAAGTAGACGACATGAGATGC